TACTATACTACTATTATTACTATACTACTTTTGCTACTACTTTATTTACCAATCCTACTACTACTAAATTTTAATTTCTATTAATCTCTCTTCCAATGGCCAGCCAACGAGGAGGTGGAATTCGAGCGCATTGCCACTGCAGCTCGTCCCGGCACCAGCATCAAGACCGCCTTTCAGCCACGACCCAGCACCAGTCAACGGCGTGGCACGGCTTTGAGCCACTCGAGCGGCAGCACACGTCCCGGCTCGGCATTGACACGCCCGGGCACGGCCATCAGTCGACCGGGCTCCTCGCTAGGCGCACGTCCCGCCTCGAGATGTGGCACCGCGTCCCGGGTGCGGGCCACCTCGGCGGCCGCCTTCAATGTGGGCGATGCGACGGCCGCGTTGTACCAGGCCTCGCGGCTGAATCCCACCATCTATGCGGAGAGGGAGGCGATTGTGAAGGCGCTGTTCCAGTTCCTCTACTACCACGAGGCGGACGTGCAGAAGGCGCATTCGCTCTGCCAGGCCGTGCTCGATGTGCAGCGCCAGCGACCAGGCCAGGCGGCACTAGCTCCGCCTGCGGATGCCGCCCGCACAGACTGGTGGTGGCAGCAGCAGATGGGCCGCTGTCTGCTGGCTCTGCACTATCCACGCCGCGCCGAGAGCCATCTGCAGCAGTCGCTGGCAGCCTTTCCGCATCCGGATACTTATCTCCTACTCTCGCGGCTTTATCAGCGTCTGCGACAGCCGGAGCGCTCGCTGGTGCTCATCGGCCAGGCTGCGGAGCGACAGCCATTCGATGTAACCTTCAGGCTGGAGCAGGCACGCATTCACGCAGCCATGTCCCAGCAGGAGGATGCACTGCAGCTGTACCGCCTGGCCGCCCGCCTGCAGCCCATCAATGTGGAGGCGTTGGCCAGCATTGCTGTCAGCTACTTCTACGACAACAATCCGGAGATGTCACTGATGTACTACAGACGCATCCTTTCCCTGGGCGTCCACACCGCGGAGCTCTACTCCAACATAGCCCTCTGCTGTCTCTATGGCGGTCAGATTGATCTGGTGTTGCCGTGCTTTCAGCGCGCCTTGCGGATGGCCACGCAGCCGGAGCAGAAGGCAGACATTTGGTACAATCTCAGCTTTGTGGCATTGGTCAGTATGATGAACAACCCAATACCCTGTAGTCATAGGAAATGGGACTATCTATGTATGGATTGCAAGCAAAAATCTATATATAAATATTCCAAGTCAGGCCATTATTATATATAATCTCTGTAATACTTCCGCAGACATCGGGTGACTTTAACCTGGCCAAACGCTGCCTACAGCTCTGCCTCACCGCCGACGCACGTGACGGAGCCGCGTTGAACAATTTGGCTGTGCTGTCTGCCCATGGTGGGGATGTAATGGGTGCCAAGTCTTATCTGAATGCGGCCAAGGACGTGCTGCCCGAGGCGAGCGAAGTGAACGCCAATCTGCAGTACATGGAACTCAACTACAAGCTTTAGATCTGAGTTTATTGTACACACGAATAAAGCTACTGAGAGAAACCGATTCATGGTCTTTGGAGCCAGTCGTAGATGGTGCTGAGACCCACCTTGGTCACTGCGCTGGCCTCTACAATGGTCACCTGCTGTCGTATCTGTTTCTGCAGCTTGGACATTTGCAGCATGAGCAACGCCTCGTTGCGCATCTGGCGGTAGGAGTAGTCCATTTTGGTCAGCACGAGGAGGATTTTAACCTTTTGCAGACGCGGCTCGGTGAGAATCGAATAGAAGAGCACGCCTGCAATCAAGTCCATTGTGAACGAGTATTTGATTTGGCTATCTCTACGCACCTGCAGCTGAGATCTGACACAGATTAGAAGCATCCACCACATAGATGAGCTTTTTGACATCCTCAAAATATTGACTTTGACGCCACAGAGGCGCCATGCTGCCTCCAATTTCCAGCACCTGTATAAACTTAGCCAGGTGTTTGCCGCCATGCGGTGTGGCTACGACATCTGTTGTTGGCGGTGGTGGTTTGTGCCTATCAGCATTTGCGGACTTTTCAGGAAAGTAAATGCGAAAGATGCCTGTACCAATTGTGGGCATGGAGTAGCTCGTCTCATCTATAGAGTCTGGCTCTTGCAGAGCCTTGAGCAGATGAGTTTTGCCCGCACGCTTGGGTCCTAGACAAATGCAAGACATTGCGTCTGCTATAAATTTGTTTCATTATCTTTATCTATCGATTTAACAACCAGACTAGCCTTGGTAACCATTTTAAAATAGCGTTACGCTCCACAGTGTCGCCATCTGTTGTATAAAAATTAACAGTGCGTGTATTTTCATCGCGATAGTTTTGGCTCTGTATAAAAATATTTGAATGTGTAATAGTAGCGATAGATTCAGTGCTGAACAGCGTGCTTTTGTTTTTTTGTTGCCGACTCACTTCGTTCATTGCATTATTCTATAAAATTCAAATTTGAACACATTTCTACTCATTTCTTGTCAATATAATTCTACTTCTATATGAAATTTGTGAAAGTTCAAGAATTGTATTAAGATACACAATTATTAAGCGCTTTACTTGAAACTAGCCAGCAAGCGCAGCAAAGACGTTGACCAACTATTCCCCCAACAGTTGACCGTGTAAACATATGATTTTCGAAACAAAAAAGCAGAATATTAAGTATTTGTTTTGACTGCCGCAAAATGAGTGCATTTGAAACGAAAAACGAAAAATGTGGCTTCCACAAGCAATTTGCGCTGGACATAAATGGGAATAGCACAGAGTTCGTGTTTCACGAATTCGAAGACAAATGGATGCTGTTGATCACACAGCTGGGCAAATTGCCGGCATTCTACAATGTGGCGTTTGACGTGAAACGCGACCATCGAGTATTGCCCTTTGCTCATGGCCCAGTGGATGATCCAGAGTTCCATGTCTCGGTGCCTGTGACAATGACCTGCTGCATGGGCGTCGACTCAGATGAAATACGCGGTGGCATACAGTTTTTAATTAACAAGACGGCGATCAACAAGTGTCCGTCCGAATTGCTTATCGCGTTGGGATTGAAGAAAATCGAATCGGAAGATTTGAGAGCCATTGCCAAAGTGTTGGAAAATGGCATATTTTAAGCGACTACTCTATACTTTTAAGCCCAATAAAAATTACAACAATCTTGGAATCACTTTAAAGTAAACTTTTATATTTCCTCGCGTTTGTACATTAAAACGTGTACGAATGTGGGAAGATTACAAAATCTTACTACACATACACGGCGGATGTTGTTGCCTCTGTACGTTAGTTGTTGCAGTAGTCTTATCTGCTGCGGATACACTTTAATCGAACAGACCGAAGCCCATGTCGTCGTCGGAGACATCAGACTCCTCTTCCTTCTTCTTCTCCTCCTTCTTGGATTCGGCAGCGGGCGCGGCGGCAGCGGCTGGTGCAGCAGCACCGCCAGCTGGGGCAGCTCCAACGCCGGAGCCAATGTTGGTGATCAAGTCCTTGACATTGATGCCCTCCAACGCCTTGGCAAACAGACCAGGCCAGTAGGGCTCCACCTCAACATTGGCGGCCTTCAGGATGGTCGAGATTTTCTCACCCTACAAATGATACGAAACAAAAATATAATTAGTGTGCAGTCCAAACATTACGTATTCAAAGTAATATCCACAAATCCACAATTTAACACGGAGGATTGTCGTTAATTTCGCAGATTTGTTTTGAGTTCGATTTTTAGCAACTTACGGTGACGGCGACATCATCATCGACGAGGATGAGGGAGGCGTAGACGCATGCGAGCTCAGCTTTTGTCGACATATTTAAACTGTTAGCTTAATTAATAATTGGTGCAAGTTGCCAAAAATTAATGTTTTATAATAATCGGCCTTAGCTCGAAAGAGAACAAGCACACGGAACAGAATCCTAAACCGGAAAGAAAGATAGCTGTTAAGTTGGTTGCGCCTTAAAGTGTTTTGTAGTTATTCGCTGTGAATAGCAAATATTTCACTTGCCAACACTGGTAGAAAATGTAAACAAATGCCTATCGATTGCTAGGCACAATACTAAAAACGCGCGTAAAATGGAAGACATAGAAATTAAACAAGAAAATGAGTCCATATTAGACTCAAAACCAAAAATAGAACAAGAGGAAGATCATGTGGATATTGATAAAATCAGCTCGCTAAAAGCGCTTGGGCCGTTCATTGCAGCTCGCGAAAATAGTAAGAATACAGTTTATCTGAGTGATGTGCCAGCGATATGCAAGGACCAGCCCTGTATGTTAGGCGTCGACGAGGCGGGCCGTGGACCTGTGCTGGGACCCATGGTATATGGCATCTCCTACTGTCCGCTGAATAGTAAAGAGGCATTAGTCGAATTGGGCTGTGCAGACTCCAAGCAGTTGACGGAGGAAAAACGTGATATCATCTTTAACGATATGAATACGCTGGAAAATGCTAACAGCTGCATTGGCTGGGCCGTGGAAATCATTTCTCCAAATGTTATCAGCAACAGCATGTACAGACGCAGCAAGTGTTCGCTGAACGAGGTGTCCATGGATTCCGCAATGGGTCTCATACAGCGTGCAATCGATGCAGGTGTTAATATAGCTGAGGTCTATGTGGACACGGTGGGTCCGCCAGAGAAGTATCAGGAGAAACTGCTCAAACGATTTCCAAACTTCAAGATAACAGTGGCCAAGAAGGCAGATTCTACCTACCCAATTGTCTCGGCGGCCAGTATATGCGCCAAGGTAACCCGTGATCATGCTTTAAAGGTCTGGCAGTTTCCCGAAGGCCTGGTCATCAAAGATAATGCATTTGGCAGTGGCTATCCTGGCGATCCGGTCACCAAACGTTTCCTCACAGAAAACATTGATTTGGTCTTCGGTTTTCCGCGCCTGGTGCGGTTTAGTTGGTCAACGGCAGAGAATGCGCTGGCCGACAAGGCCTATGAAATGGAGTTCGACGAGCCGGACACGGAGAAGCCCAAGTACGCAGGCACAAAGCTGACCAAGTTCTTTAAGGGCACCACCAAAACGGGCGAAGTGAAGCGTGAGGAATGTCGCTTCTTCAAACAGTGCCACTTGGACAATGTTACGGACTTTTAGATTGGTTTTAAGTAATTATTTATAATTTAAAAATATGTTCAATAAAATTAAGATTGAGAGAATGTCATTTTGCCATTTCACTTTCTGGTTAAGCAAACAAAATTGGCAGCACTTTTTTTTTAGCACTTATTCGATGATTCGATATAGTTATCTATTGCCCCCTTCCAAATAAATACCAGATTTGCATTGTTTTGGAGCTTTAATTAATTGTAGCTGCTGTTAACGCCATTCTTTAAAATTATAATCGTTTACACACTACGTTGGGATCCAGTTACACTGTTCGAATGTAAGCGTAAATCGGGTTGTCATCCATTTGAACTTGGATCCGTTTCCGTTTACCAGCAAACTAAAAAAAAATTTGTTTGCATGCATTTAATATGCTTAGGTCTAAAGATAAAAGGTTTTTTCAATTAAGACTTAACTGGGGACTGGACCATTATACTGCGTTGATTGTATAGAAAATAACAAAATGCATCGTGTTATACTAAACGGGGTTCTTTCTGTATAAAAAAACTTAGAAACATATGGAGCTTACGGCTAAATTAAAAGCGCATTTCCTGCAGCTGGCTGCGATTGTGGCGCAAACTCTGTTTACGACGCCCACGAACCACAAATCCAGGGCATAGAAACTGTATTGACTTGAAATTGGGCGACAATAGAAACTCATTGAAGGATCGTGGATGATAGAACATTGAAGTAAACATTCAAAAACAGAAGCGGGAAACACATTAGAATTTAAGCTTCAATACACATAACTTAAATGGTGCTGAGAGTTGCTGGCAGATGTATTGAATGGAACTCCTGTAGATCAGAACTTTCTCAGATCAAGGACAAATACGCTGCCATCCGATGCACTGGCGCCCACTTTGGTGCCCTTGGAGTTCCAGCACACCTCGAAAATGCCACCGGTTCCCTTATAGCTGTGCACCAGCTGTCCCGTCTGCGTGCTCCATATGTGCACGCACTTGTCAAAGCTGCCCGACGCCAGATGCTTGCCATCCGGACTGAAGGCCACGGAATAGACGGGTTCTGTGTGCTTGGTTAGCGTATGTATGCAGCTGCCACGCTCCACGTCCCACAGACGGACCGTCGAATCGAATGAGGCCGAGGCGAGAATAAGATTCGTATTTGGATTGTTGGTGCCGGGTCCGGTGGGTGACCATTTTATCGTGTAGATCTCCTTGGAATGCGCTTGCAGATCATGACAGCAACGATCGCGCGTCATACTCCAGATTTTGAGTGTCATGTCGTCCGAGCAAGAAGCCAATAGCTGGCCCTGCGGACACCATTTGATTGCATTGACCTCGTTCGTGTGACCACGGAACGTTTTTATCGGCTCGTTCATGCCCAGCCGGCACACGTGTATCCTCTGATCCGTACTGCACGATGCAAATGACTGATTAGATTGCCAGTCGACGTCCAGTGCAGGCGCACTATGGAACGCAAACTGTTGTGTGCACTGGCCAGTAGATGCGTCCCAGATGATTGTGGTTTTATCCACGCCCGCAGACAAAATGTAATTGCCGCATTTGTTCCATTTAAGCGCAAAGATGGGGCCCTTGTGCTGGCCCAATGTGGAGGCCAAACCGCCTTCTGTATTCCAAATGCGTGCATAGCCATCGTAACTGCCGGTGGCCAGAAGCGAGCCGTTGCACTGCAAAAAATAATTTTAATTGTCAATATATATTTATGATAGTTCAAGTGCCGACAGAATGAATGTCGAATATCATTTAGATATCACTTACATTCCAGTCCAACGATGTGACATCCTTATTGCTGGGCACCTCAGCGCCTCCTTTCTGTATGCAATGTCGCAGCACCAGTTGACTGGAATTAGCATTTGCATCGGACATGTCCCAAATGCGAGCGGTGCTGTCGCCAGAGCCACTGGCTAATAGATCCCGGCTGGGATTCCAGGCGCAGATGAACACTTCACTTTCGTGGCCACGCAGCACACGAGCTTTCGATTCAGGTATCTCAATGCTCTGATCAATTTCCATCGCCTCCACAACGGTACTGCCGGGTGTGCCAGCGGTGGTGCCACCACCACCACCACCACCTCCGCCGCCACCGCCACCTCCTCCACTCCCGGATGTCG